AGCAACACGACAAACTTAAAAACTAGGAAACGAATAACTATATTCTGAAAAATTACTCAATTTTAATACTTCTTAATAGGAAAAAAAGACAAAAGAAATTCTTCTAGTCAAGACTCCAAGCTCAATAACCAATTAAATATCTTTTTTTATTTCTAATATAAAGGATTTAAGTCTAAAAAATATGAGCATTAAAGCCTATGAACATAAGCATTTAAACCTGAAAAATACATCTGAAACAATGAACATAAACAGCCACCACAAGTACACAACATATTCTCTCCTCATGGCACTTACCACTGTTTAACTTAGTATTAATGACTTACAGCACCGTATGTTTTCACTCCCTCAGCTGGTACCTATGAATGTGCCTGCATATTTAGGTGTGTATAAAAACACCCATGTGCAGGAAATAGAATTCTGAAAAAAGTATTCCATGGAAATTTGCTATTATTAACTCTGCTCCCTAAGAGCTGTTAATCTGGCTTCGATACACGAACATAAATATCATTCTATAAGGATCTGATGAAAAAACGAAGTAGTTAACATTAAATGTGATCCAGACCTCCTCCAACAGCTGTATGTACATGCCAATCAAAGCAAGTAAGTCTGCATTTACTCTCATCCAAAGACATAGTAAGGATAATAACAATACTCAGCTAAATTAACCCCCCTTTCTCCATAAGCTCAACATATGTATTTTACAATACTGTCATTAGGTGAAATACATATAGACTGCACATAAAAACTGTAAAACTGTAAAAATTACATCTATGATGAATTAATAAAAATTTTCTAAGCAGGAAAGGGGAATACCACTTTTATACCCATATTTAAAGCACAGAATCTAAACACACACATACCACTTATGACACATGTACACATTTCTGAAATGAGATACTTACAGGTTGCAAACCCATCCACATTGGAAGGGAGATAAGCTGCTGAACTTGACTCCGGATCAAGTCTACTTCCTGTTTAAGGCATAAAAAAAAAACCAAGTTTATAAATGTACCAACACTTCTACTTCAGTCATTACATAAGGCACACAACTGCTTGTTTAAGGTTTAAGTCCTGCATGGAGAATATGACACCAGTAGTTTCAAATTAGTTATTTTAATATTAAGAAGTTCAATACTAAAAAAAAAAAAAAAAAGCAGCATTTCAATAATACATTAGCTTTTAAGATGGCTAAGACAGCAGAAAATTTAAAGCATTAGAATCACTATGGGTATGATCTAAGGAGCCCTGGTGGCACAGCAGTTAAGCACTCAGATACCAACCGAAAGGCTGGTGGTTTGAACTCACCCAGCGGCTCTGTAGGAGAAAAGACCTGGCGATCAACTCCTATAAACATTACAGCCTAGGAAAGCTATGGGGCAGTTCTACTCTGTCCCATGGGCCACCGTGAGTCAGAACTGACTCAACAGCACCTAACAACAACAAAGTTGGCTAAACCTAGCACCAAAATAGGAATTAAATCTTGTTTCTGTTGAATTTCTGATAAGGAATCGTGTCTATTTACATTCATTCATATCTGTTCTATGTACTTTAATAAATGTTTAAGGGGTGACAGTGGCCTCCAGTGTCTAAATTACTAGAAGCATCACAATTCTTTTTTTTTAAACAAAACTCCCTGTAGGCGGTACACAGAAGAAACAGGAGATAGCAATCCATCTACCTGATACTGACAAGCAACATTCAGTCTTCCGAATAAAAAAGAAGTCCACGCTTTTACTGCTTGGGTCTAAATCTACTATCACTTCAGAAGCTCTCATCTTTACATAAACATGTACACCTTAAGATAACCACAGCAGGGAAGTATAAATGAAATATGAATTACTGTTCTGGAAGACAGTCTTGTGAAGGATGAAATTCTATCAGTACACAACACATTTTCAAAGATCATCGGCAACTGGCCTGCATCAGTCAACTCAAGAGACAACTCTCCTGCTGACTAACCAGCCTGCACATTAAACACAAAACGGAATGCAACTGCATTTTGGTGTGCAGCCTGCAGCACGTGGCTTACCACCCAACCCTTACAATAACCACGCTCTGCTGCTTCTCGTTTGGGGCTCTACCTTTGGAGATTTCGTTCTCATTATCATTTTTCTTCAAGTCTGGATACAGAAAAGGAGAGATCAAGTCCAAATCCATTCAAAAGTAAGAAGGTCTTATCAAACGGTTTTATTGGGAATGGGCTAAAATCAGGCTTTTAGCATTATCCTCATTCCCCACTACCATCGACGAAGAGTTGGCTATAGAGGTCATCTTACCTAAGCTCAACCTAGCAGAACAAGAAAACTTGAAAATTTCCCCAAAAAACAAGGTAAAATTACCAAACTATTGAAGCAATGATCAAGAAAAAGCAATAAGACCGTCTGTTCATGAAGTGAAAATTCCCCATCAGTTTCAGCTAACGCCGCTTTCAAGATGCACTTAAAAAAGAATGGGAAGTGGTCTGGCTTTTTCTTAAAAGTCTGAAAAGAGAAAGAATAAAATTTAGTTTTGAATT